GGATCCGGCGGCCGCTATAGCCTCTGCCGGGCAGGCGTCCGCTCTCCGCTTTGCGCATCTTGGCACAGAGACTTCGCCGCCGGGTCGGCGTCCGTTGGAAAGGGTCGTTCGGTTCCCTGACGGGCGGAGGAGCGGAGCAGCGGCCCGGAGCGCGGCTCTAACTTCAGTTAGTGCTCGTGTGTTAAAAGAATCTAGGCACAGGTTTCTAATGCCGGGCAGGCGTCCGCTCTCCGCTTTGCGCATCTTGGCGCAGCGACTTCGCCGCCGGGTCGGCGTCCGTTGGAAAGGGTCGTTCGGTTCCCTGACGGGCGGAGGAGCGGAGCAGCGGCCCGGAGCGCGGCTCTAACTTCAGTTAGTGCTCGTGTGTTAAAAGAATCTAGGCACTCAGGTTTCTAAGCTGTAGGAATTAATTCCATCTGCTCTTGAGCTTGTTACAGAAAGCATCATTTGTGGCATTTCACTTGTAATGAAAAACACCAGTGAAACCAGGAAAAATCGAAAAGGGGGTCAGTTTTTATTCTGCAGTAATTTTGGTGCCGCGGTCTGGCCCACACTAGACCCAGTCTTTTAAAGTGTAAAATTCAGACCCGGCCTCAGAAGCCTCTCAGAGGAAGGAATAAAATTCAAAGCTGTCGAATGGTGGTAATACACGTACTTCTGAAGCTTTGAATGACGTTTAAGTTAATAGAGCGTTTACTGTGTATGATCCATAGAGCTGTGGACAATAGATTTCTGAACTTAGCAAATTTTTCAGCTGCAATTAGAATTCTAACTGCTCAAGATGTGTTGTGTATTCACAGAATTTTAGAGCTAACTTTTCATAAATGTGACAAGATGTCACTAGTCTTATTTGAATATAAATTTCTCGTACAAGTTCCGAAACAGATTTGTGGCTCGGTTTAAGGGGCACTTATATATGGGGATAATCCCTGTGATGTGGGTGTGGATTAAACGTGCATTATGTGAACCACTTTGCACGGTGCCTGGCATATAGTAAATACTTAGTAAAGCTTGCTGTTTTGAGTGGTTGCAGCATGATGGAGGTATGAGAGGTTTGGGTTTTTCATGTGGATTCTGCAAAATAGGGTTAATCATACATAATGAGGCTCATACTTAATAGTATTTTTTTCCCCTCCTGTGGTATTGAGGACTGAACCCAGGGCCTTTGCACTAAAGTATAACCTTGGCCCTTCTTGTTTGCTTATTTATTTATTTATTTATTTATTTAGATAGTTGATAAATTGTTGGGGCTGGGCTCAACTTTGAGATCCTCCTGCCTCAACCTCGGAGTGTGTTGTGATTTTGGCCACCACACTGGAGTGGGTTTGTTTGTTGTACTGGGGTTTGAACTCCTGGCCTGGATCATGTCAGATAGTTGTTTTCATTGTCACCTACCAGTTAAGAGTTAAATATATCTGTATTTCCAGATAATTATACCTGAAGTAGTAATTTTATCCCGTCATGATTTATTTTTTTCCCTAACTTGGCAAAAAGGTATTTATGAGTCTCTTTACTGCCACAATTTAAGTGTTAGAACAGTTGGGTTTGAATGAAGGTGATTTAATCACATTCCTTGACTTTTTATCCCCCCCTAAAGTTTTTCTTGAGAGGAAGGAGTAGTCTGAATTGTCAGGTGCTTCTCTCTCATCTGTGTTATAAACGATAACAGCAGTGATGGTTTTCGTTTACCTTCTTTCACCATCACTTATCTCTAGGTGTGGTATATTTTAAATTACATAATGTGATAAGAAAGCTGAAGTAAGTTTTCCTCATAATAAGGTTGGCCAGGAAGCCAGCATAGCCCAGAGCCTGCTGGCGGTGTGGCCTCTGCTCCACCTGTTCTGTGCTGAGCAGGCCACAGGCAGATGAGGGACTCAGCCCTATCTCCCCGGGCCTTAAAGTAAGAGGGAAAACCGCACTGGTGGGCGGAGCTTTGTTGGATAGGTGTGCATGGATCATACATTTTTCAGTGATGAACAGGTTTTTAAACTGAGTTTTTAGTTTAGAAATGGGACATTTTGAGAAGTTTAGAGTGACGGCTTTACTTAACCCTGACGTCCATTTTCCAAACAACATTGTGGCAAGTTTTTAAAAGGAGGTACGAAATTTAATCTCTGTATTATTTGTTCCATTCAGATCCTTTCTCCATATCCCTTTTTACCAAGTCTTAAGTAATGAGGTATTTAACCTAAGTTTCTTTTGATTAAAGAGACATCGAAGTGTACACTAATTTAAAAGGTCAATATATACATAGATTTGGATTAATTGAAACCTTTGTTCCTATAAAAAGGGAATTATATAGCAGGGGAGGAAAAAAACCCAAATCGGAGTCTATCTTGTTAACTGCTCCTGAGTGACCTTGGGTAAGGTGCTTAACCTCTCCAGGTCTGTTTCAGCTATAATTGACTTTTGATGAACTTAAACAGGCAGTTGGGCGATAATTAGGTTACTGCTTCATTAAATTTAAGTTTATAGCAACTATTTTATTCACATTGAAATATTATGGGAATTAACCAGAAGAGTAGGAAGTATTTATGAATGAAGGGGAATAAAAAGTTTTTTTAGTGAATTTCCCTGAATGGGAGCTAACAGGGGAAAATAAACTGAATTGGAACAGTTTATGTATTCACACTGTTGAGGAATTAGGCTGATCCCTTGCTCTATTTTAGCCAGTAAATTTCATAGTTAAAATTCTTGTGATAGTTACAATTGTAATGCCACATTTTTTCAAAAAATGAAATAATTGCTGTGCTTTCTAAAGAGAATAGATAATGGATTATGCTGTAATTTGCTTAGGTATGTGTAACAAATAGATCTTGTTGTTTAGTTTCACACTTAAAAAAAGAAAAATCTTTTTTCTGAAATGCAGCATGGCATTTTTATAATAAAGATTAAATGTATTTTTTTCTGTATGTGTAACAAATAGATCTTGTTGTTTAGTTTCACACTTAAAAAAAGAAAAATCTTTTTTCTGAAATGCAGCATGGCATTTTTATAATAAAGATTCAATGTGTATTTTATTTTTTTTTTTTTTTTTTTTTTAAACCAGGCTTTGAACTCAGGACCTCCGCTTGCCAGGCAGGCAGCTGAACCCTGAGCTACATCCCTGGCCCCAGTGCCTATTTCCTCTTGAATTTGAGTAATGGGTACAGGAGGATTTCACTATCCTGTACCCAGTGTGTGACAGAAATGCCCAAGTTAAAAACATGGCAATACTTTCTTTTTACTCTCAAATTTGTAACATTTTAAGCATTTTACTGTTGCTATCTGTGTGTAAAGTGCTTGTTTGTGAGGCGTAATCCCTTTCTAAGAATAGATTTTGAGTTTAGCAAACATAATTATAGGGTTGGTTAAGGCTCCTTAAAGTTTTACTATGAAAATGTGTATGGGATATACCAAATTAAAGAAAATTGTGTTATGAAAGCCCCATATTTGTCACCTAGATCAATAGTTACTGAGATATTGGCAGTGCCGACTCCCTCCCCTCTGGCAGGTGTGTTTTAAGAGCCTGACCCAGGCATGTGATTTCATCCTGGGGAAGACAATCATTTCCTTAGTAGAACAAAATTAGCAATACTTTTTTATAGTACGCACTTTATAATTTAAAACAGTTGTTTTGATAGTATTCTAGCTCTTTGCTGTCAGTTATGGCAGCCACACATGGCTGTTTGAATTTACATTAGTTAAAATTAAAAATTCACTTCCTCAGTTGCAGTAGCAGTTTCAAATATGACTGATTGACACGTCGGTGCCATAGGAGTATTTCCTCCACTGCCAAGAGGTAGACTTCACTGTGGGACAGCGCTGCTCTAGAGGCTTCCTACCTTGCTGAGGAAATAAACCTGGAATAGTTAAAACCTTGTGTTTTAAGAAAATGTATGAGATTGCTCATTAAATGTTTGATTCTTCTTTCTTTCAGATGTGTAGAAAAAATAACAACTGATAAAGGTAAGACTTGGTCATCCTTATCCCTCTTTCCCATGCACATTACACTATTATGTGATGGTCTAGTAGAACAGAGAGTGAGCTTCCGCCTGGTCAGAGTAGTTCCCTGCAACAGGGGCCCCGCAGGGAATAGTGTGTGGGTGGCACTTGGCAGACTGTGCCCCAAAACCAAACGCCCAGCCTAGACCATTGAGTGACAGTAAGAGCCTGTCTCAAACCAGAAAAACAAAGGATGAGGCTGCAGCTCTGGGTGAAGGCCCTGGGTTCATTCCCCAGTACCATAAAATAAGAAAGATAAAAGGGACTTCTAAAACATTGCTGGAGTTGATAAAACCTAGGCATTGCTTTAAAAAAATAGGAAAATCATAATTTGATGAAAATTTAACCTAAGTGTTAAAGCATTTGGTATTTTTAAAAAAATGAAATAATGAGAGGAATGATATGCAGTATACATTGTAAACTGTAGGCAAAATCTTGACACTGGTGAAGACTCAGATTATAATTGCAGTTTGAAGAATGCAGAAAGAAAAAGTGTTCTAAGATTTCAACCTGGTAAATAATTTAATGAAGTCATTAGGTCACTTCCATTTAGAGTTCCAGGAAACAACATGTATGTGTAACATATGTGCTGAAGTAGTATTTTGCTTATCAGGATGATGAAGGGAAGCCCATGTTCAGTTGTTCTAGTTTACATAGTGTTTAAAAGGTGTCATTCTGCCTTTACAAATTGGGCTAGTAAAAGTGCCCCTGTCTTGTGGAACCAAGTTGCTCATTCATTACATTTTTCTTTTTCTGGTACTTGGCAGTGTTTTGTGGTGCTAAATTCAAGATTCATCCTCCTTAAAATTGAAACAAATATCCTCCTGATGGTACTTCACTCACTGTGTGCTCTTAAGATGGTCTTCACATAGCCAGTCTCCAACTCCTGAGTCCATTTAGTAGCTGAGAGTTGACCAGTTAGCTTTTAAGGTGGTCTGCTCCCTTTAAAACCAGCACGTGTGCCTATGTGTGCATTTCCAGTATGTAGAGTTTCAGAAGTGAGGATTTATGTGTTCTTTATAAAGAATGACTTGAGCCAATTTGAGAAAAATTTAAAACTTGTACATTAATGCCATTTGGAAGAATGAGTGTGATTATGAGCCAGTAACTTGCTAGGTGGCTGTTTGTAACAGTTTGTAATATAACATTCAGGTTTTTCGCTGAAGTTTGGAATTTGAGGCTAATATTCCATATTGTACCAGGCAGATATTTTATAACAAGAGTGCTTGCTCCCGTGTGTGTGTGTGTGTGTGTGTTTATGTGTATGTGTGTGTAAATCATCACGTGGTTATATTGTCTAGCACAATATTCTTATTTTGACAGAAGTAACACAATTTATTATTTGTTGCTGTTATTACTTGGAAAATAGATACTATGTCTATGGAGACTGGAAAGTTTCATATTTCTTACTCAGATTACTTTGTAGATATTTTGATAACAAAATATAACAACAGTTAAGTTACCAGACCAGTTCTGATTAAAGGAAAAAAAAAACAACTTTTTGGAGTTAAAATTTTATGTTTAATGAGAATGTCTAAATTCACTCTGGATGGCTTGCAGAAAACTTGGAATTTGAATAAAGTAGAAATGTTGAGCCCGTTTTGAGCTGTGTGTGAGTAGTGGTGCATACTTGTAATGCCAGCCTACTAAAGCTGGAAGATTGAAAATCCAAGCCTAGCCTGGACAATTTAGCTGTTAAGGAATACCCTGGGCTTTGGAGGGGGCTCATATCCTTTTTGGAGATAAACCAAAGTTGCTTGGCATGCTGTGTAGTTGTGCAGCTGTGGAAAGTAAAACTTCATTCTGGGTGTTGAGTCTGCACATCTGTCCCTCCTTTAAACCTCTCTGATTGGATGTGCTAGGTCTGGACACTCAGTAACCCATCTCTGCTTCAGTTTACCTGCAGGATTACCTGCTCACAGCTCCGGACTTCAGGTGTAGGAGTGTGTCAGATGTGTACATAAAGTCAGTGAATAAAGAAATGAAGCTCTAGTGCTCACTTTTTCTGAAATTCTTAGTCATAATTCACCTCAATTCTTTGTTTTCCTTCTCATTTAAATTTTAAAAAGTTATTTAACTCGAAATAGCTTTTAGTTTTAGTCCGCTGAATTTTAACTGAAGTTAATTCATGCTTATTACAAAGGTTGAGGCTTTTCAAAAACTTTGATAGGTTATTTTCTAGAAGTGTTATATGAAAATTTTTCAGGATTTTATTCTTACTGCAACCAACCAGAAATTGTGTATTCCCTCAAGTTGAATCTTTGACATGTTTTAACAAATAAACAATATTGTGTATAATATTGTTTATCATCTTTAAATTAAGTTGCAAAGTGGTCAGTTTTCAAATGGATGGTTAAGAAACAATATTAGTTCCTGTTACATGTATTTAACCTTGATAGGTGTATATAAAACAAATAGGAAGTTGCTTGGCTAAAATAGTGTGTGTTAAATTATTCAAGAACTGCTGACTCTGCTGCCTTCTCTGGCACCATTCTAGCCCCTGGGTTGTGCTAGTTATTTTTGTGGCAAGAAAGTGAAGCACTGTAATAAAATGTTGGGTGTTGAAATGGGAGAGGCTTCGTTTAGATAAGTTGGAAAGGAAGGACCTCTTTGAGGAGGTGGCCTTTAGAGCTCAGACCTAAATATGCAGTTCAGGATTCAGATGTGGATATTTCACACATTTGCAACAAAAAAAGAAAAAAACATTTAAGTTTTGAAAACCATGGCACCATTGCCAGAGGATCACCTTCATCTTGTAGCCATTCCCAGAAATTTAGCAAAAATCTTTTTTTGGGGGGGAAGGGTGTTTTTTTGTTTGTTTGTTTGTTTGTTTTGAGACAGGGTCTCACTATGTAGTTGAGATTAACCTGGAACTCGGCTGTGTAGACCAGGCTGGTCTCAAATTCACAGCAATCCTCCTGCCTCAGCCTCCCAAGTCCTGGGATTAAAGGCGTGTGCCACCATGCCCGGCTCCTTAGCAGAAATCTTGAGGGATGAAGGCTTAGTTCACTCTATGTTTTCACTCTGTTGCTTTGTTTTGAGCCTTGGTGTCCTTGCGATAGGAAGGTAAAAGATGGTTTGGACATAAAATTTATTAATATTCCTTGCATTACTTTTAATATCTTCTTTCTGGCTTCCAACTAGATATATCATGAAACTTGTCTTTTCTCTTTTGTTTGTTGGACCCTTAGTGATGATTAATTCTCAAGATACATAAAACATTCCTGCTGGGATCCTGTGCATGCCTACATTCCCAGCTACCCAGGAGGCTGAGGCAGAAGGATAGCAAGTTCAAGGTCAGCCTGGCTACTTAGCAAGACCCTGTCAAAGTATGAGGTCTGGGGTTGGAGTTCAGTGGTAGAACTCTTGCCTAGTGTGCGCCAGGAGACCCTGGGTTCAGTCCCCAGAGCCACAGAACAAGAGAACCAGATTCCTCTGCTCAGCTTACTCTGTTTTATGTAATGAAATGTTGCTGGATTCTAAGATGGCAAATAAAGCTAATTAAGATCTCTTAAAACATAAACTTTTTAAAAGTCTAATTTTAATTTAAGTATGTTTCATAGAGTTAAATATGGAGAGTGCTTGAGCCATCTGTGATAAGTTAGTTACTTTGGGACTTTTTGGGAAGTCCTGAAATTGATTTTGGGAAAGATAGGCAGTGTCAGTATCAAAATTCGAAGCAAATTAAGTAGCTTCCTTTACTATAAGATCCCTCCTTTGAGTACATCTCATAAAGCTTTAATTTATGCAAAACATATTTGGAAGTAATTGATGCTTGGGTATTTTACCGTATTTTTTTCAGCATGGTTTTCCTATTGCGATTACTCTTGTTACACAGAACGGTGATGCGATGCTGGCAAAGCTGCCACAGTCATCACATAAAGGCCTAACATCTGGCTACTTGCTCAGGTTGTTTGGGCTTAACTGTTGCCTTTGGCAGTATTTAGTTTATTGTAATCAGTGTAATGTCCAGAATTATTGCTAAACTTATTAGCTTGTTTTTATTTTTTCCCCCCTCTGTTGTGGATCACATCCTTGGTTTTTGCCTTTTGTTGATGTTGTCTTAATTTATTGATTATGCCTCTGCTCCAGTTTTTTAAAAATTAGAATTAGTTTATTTTTAACAGTTTTCACAAGTGTAATTTCAGTGAAGTATTCCATCTTTACTGTGCTGGAGTACATTTATTTCTTACTCTTCCAGGTCATTCCCTTGTTTCACATTCCTGTATCCTTAAACCATATTTGTATTAGCCCTAAATCTGTAGAAGAGGGATTCCAGTGTAATCTCCATTCTTTGAGAAAAATCTAACATTAGCAATTTTACCATTGAGTTTGTGTACAGAGAAAGTTGCAACAGTATCCTCTGGACATTGTCATTACAATTCTTTTTGAAAGATTTTGACTCTCCTTGGTAATAACTTGTTTCCTAGTTGAAGAGTTAAATCCTATAGGTTTTGCCATATGAAAGCATTGTGGGCCAGGCATGGTGCCAGCACTCTTGTAAGCCCAGCACTGAGAAGCTGAGGCAGCAGGATCTCCCCTCTGAGGCCAACTCAACTACGCCCATAAGGCCCTATCACAAAACCATGAGGGATCACAAAGCTGTGCAAGGATGGAAGTCTCTCAGTGAGAAAGGCAGGTATAAGTAAGCCTGATCCATCCCTCAGAGGTGCGTGCTATTAGTTTAGCTGAAACATTCTTTGCAAATTAAGTGATATTTAATCTGACTTTAGAAGAAAGAACATTTTTTAAAAGCTTTTGGTTTCTCTTACTCCTAAATATAGAAGTATTGATGTTTCAAAGTAGATTATGCTAATTTATGAAAAACAGTGGCCTAATGAGTAATCTAGATTTCAGTAACTCATTTTGATTTTTATAGTAGAACTAAGGCCTCAAAGTTCTGATAGAAATTTAACTTTGGGTGTGTGGGGGTGTGTATGTGTTTGTGGGTGTGCTTGCATTGC